AGTCCAATCGAACAAATCAAGGTGAAGGCCCAAATAAGGGGGCCCAAGAGTGCTGTAACGCCATCGCCCAAGTTTGCAAGTCGCCCAGAATCTGAACGAATAGAGTGTCATACGGTCGCCCAGAACTGTTATTCTATTCTCGCCCAAACCTTCAAGTCGCCCAAGGTATCAACAGACATAACGCGTCGTGGTTATCAAGAAATGCAGTTATCAAGGCAGTTGTTAAAGCAGCCCTATCACGTTCCACGACTCAAGGAATTCAATCGAAAGCGGTTGAACGATAAAAGGTAATGGCAGCAGTTAAAAGGCAGTTTTCATGATAAAATGGCCACTACGAAGAAAGTGGGTAGTTATAGGACGATCAAATAGTTTTTAGAGCAGTTAATCACAAAAAGATCGTCTATGAAGTATAAAAGAAAGAAAGAACATAGAAGCAAAGGACCGAATCCAAAACTCTCGAACAGAGAACATGTAATTTTCATTTCCTTAGTTTTTTAGATTTAAACAATTTTCTTTCAGTAACTCGTGTGCTTGCTCCCCTTGGAGGCACGTTGTTTTCCATTTCCAATTGTAAAGTTCATCGCCAATAAAAGAACCCCCTTTTTTGGGACTTTGTCTCAAGAGGTTTCGTCCCTTACACAATCGTCTGATCCTTTTTAATTGTTAGCGACTTAACCCGCGCGAAACACAGGGCTTACCTTTTTTTGTTTATTATTAGAGAAGCTGCACATATGGTCACTGAATTTGTTTGCGTTAGTATATGGATACGATTACGGCTAATTAAATTAAAGAGTTTAAAGCACATTGATTGTTGGGTATACGAAACATAAATTTTGGACGAGGAACGAGTTATTGAAATTTTATCGATCATTCGAGGATATTAAATTATTATTCATTAACCATATTAGAGTTGTTTCTTATGTCAAAAATAAAACATGCAACTCAAAAATTTCTAAATAATACACAATACAGTTATATAAAATATTAGAAGTATGTCAAGCTTAGGAGCAGTTATCTTAATACTTGGTTAGATTTACTATTTAAGTCAGTTTGAGCTGGCTCGAGCTCAAGAATGATTCAATCTAGCTTCAGCTCACTCGATTCAAGCTCTCAAAGCTCGTAAGCAGGTTTGGCTTTCTTGCAGTAGCAGTCCGGCCCAAGTCAATGCGTAAACGTGTGCCTAAATTTTGAACAAAGCATAATGTTGTTTTTGTGCATGATGTCGAAATGTCATAATTAAACATTTTCCAGTTCTTAATGTAAAGGTTGCCTCGGATGGGATCATTGATTAATTAAAAATGTATGCTGCAGGTTGGTGTTGTCTCTGACTATGACTTATTGGCACTTGACTCCATCTCAGGTATCGTTGCAGTTCTGAAACCAAGTCAAAACATCAATGACATCTTCTACCCTTGATTTTTTGCTAAATGCACATTTTTGGAATTTAGCTAGATTATTTAGAATAGCAAGAAGCATGAGTTGTTGAAATGGGGTGACTTTCTATAGGGGTGAGAATTTCAAATATTACCTGATAACACGATTTGAACCTACATAATTAGCATGCACGGTTTGGATAAACAAGCTCTTGGGCAAAAAAGAGCTGATTCTTTTTGGAAAAATATTTGTGGGTTGTCTCTAAGTTGAGTTATGGGATACAAAGTACTCACTTTCAGCACCCCCAGCGATATTAATGATATACTCACTACTCCCTCCTGGAAACCCTCAATGCCATCCTGAAACCTTGTTCAAATAGACAGTGGTTACTGGCTTTGGCCTGTTCAGTTTCCCTGTGGGCCCAACCATCTTGGGTGAGGAGAGAAGATGGACAATATTTTAGAGAGAAGGTAGAGAAAACTTTCTATTTTATTTTTATTGGAGAGTGGTGAAAAATTAAAATGTATTTGTCTGATTATGGTAAAAAGGTTTTTCATGGGGGGCTAAATTGGTAACTGTCATGAACAACAAAAACAACAGCAGCTAAAAAATTCTTTTCCATGACAGCTAACAAATCACCGCGGAATGTTTAAAAGGAGACTCTGGAATGCTATTTTCATTTTTCATGTCTTTTTTCACAGGTGTCATTTTTGTGTGATGAAAAGTCGAAATTGGTGTTGTGATAGTGACTCCACTTCATTGTTTTACTTACTATCACTAAAATAACCTAAACTCTTCAGATTCCAAAATATTCTCCGAATTTTTGACTTCTGATTTGTCCTCTTCCTAGTGTCGTCATATTAAATTGTGTCCTCAATGAATAAAATACAACAAGGAGGCCAATCAAGGATATGTTTTGTAAGCTAATCTATGACTAAATTAAGAGATAAGAACCTAAGATAGAATCTTGATTCACGCTACAGTGATGGGATATTTTGGGGAGAGGAAGGGGGAAAAAGGAAGATTAGCAAACATGCACGATGCACATATTGTTCTAATTCAACATGGGTTGTCCGTAATTTTCCATTGCTGAATTACCTGTCATTTTAGTAAAAATTAGGCACAGGAGAGATGAACTGATATCTGCGCTCCCAAGTGCAATACCCAAGCTCCAAAAAGTAAGAAGAATGAGTTTCATATTTCACTTTATGGAGTGGGAATGAACTGATATCTCCTCTCCCAAATGCGATACCCAAGTTCCAAAAATTTAGGGGAATGAGTTTCACATGTCACTTTATGGAGCGGGAATAATAGTAAACCCCCGAAATAAAAATAAATATAAAATAAAAATGTTGAAATTAAGTTGTTTCCAAGCTGCTAGTCCTGCAATTAGCTTTATTCATCTTCGTCACCCAAGCACGGTGGCTTGTATTCTTTGCTAGTCCTTTATATAATGTTACAAATATCCAGACTAGTATCAAGAAATTTGAGACAATATAATTAAATTAAAGATACAATAATAGTCATATTAAATTTGGTTTTGCTTATTAGATGCCTCATATTTTCTGTGTGTTAAATGAACTTGACAAGTTCACTTGCTTACTATAGTAGTGACATCTAGTTTAATCCTATTTTCTTGTCAATGGCTTTCAGGTGGTGGTCAACATGATACAAACATGTTTCCTGACGTTGATAGTTCTTGGAAAGTATGTAAAAAATCGTCCTTCCATGTTTGAATCCTCTACACTTAGTAATTGATAAGCAGTGTTCAATTTAGCTGTAATGGCCTTTAAAAATAACATTTTTGTTCCGGAAAATGTGTAGCGATTGGTGCTAACGTGATGCGCTGTGCGTAATAGATGCATTCTGTTTTGTTTTACTGTTTGATATGTATGATTGAAATGATAACCTTTGCATACGCGATACACCAATATCTGCTTACTTTTTGGAACTAATGGAAAAAAAAATGTTTATGATTGTAGAATATGAATTATATTGTGATTTTAAAATAGCCCGAGTTGTCATTTTCCACAAATGAATTGTAGTTTATAGATTTATTGGGACTTTACACGCAATCATTGCCTATGGTGAGAATCCTTGAGATCAATCTAACTTATTATCACGCAAATAGCATATAATGCTGCAGCTAAAGTATTATTGATAGTAACGACGGTGTTTCCTGGATAATGTTGAGAAAGATATTTAAGCTTATCTATCGGAATTCATAAGTATATATACACATATGCTTATGTCTTAATCAGTTTCTGATTTTTTGAGCCATTGCAGACATTTAATGAAATTCAGAAGCTACTCAATAAGACTTATGGGAAGGTTGTTGGAGACCTTATGACAGATGCTCCCCTTGTTGTGCGTGAAAACACTAACCTCGAGGATGCTGTCAGGTATATTAAGTTCTTCTCTTTAATTATATTTTCCTTGACATAAATGTTGATCTAAGTTTCTGCTCCGTGATGTAATTGGGATTCTTTCTTTGCTTGATATTGCAACCCCATCAAATGTACTCTCTGAAACAATGGGGTTTTAAATCTGAGATAAGATTCAACTAAGATTTTAAAGAAGACGAGTTTAATCATCCTCAATTACTATAGAAAAAGTGAAGTGGAGATCTGCAATAATGAATAATGAAGCATGATGAACATGTAAAAGTAGACACGTTCATCATGAAGGAACCTTTTTAAGAATGTATGCCCTCTCATCTTGTTCTACCATTATTGTAGGCAATAAGCGGATATTGGCTGACAAAAGAAGATGAAAACAAAAATTAGTTCGGCACATTGTTAAATAGTTTTGTCTGGGATGCATCAATTTGATTCAATTTCAATAGCAGTAATTGATGGGTACAAGCTTTTAAACCTGCATCATGTATGGCTTTTCTTCATCGAAATGAATCTCACTAATCAATATAGTGTCATCCTTAACTCTTCCCTTTAGTATTTAATTTTTGGAGGCGACAGGCGCCTTGTGGTATGCAAGTTATGTGGATGGAGATCCCTAGCGTGCATGTGGTGTGGGGTATTTATAGAAAAACCTTGTGAAACCATGCAACTTCAGTTGCATCAGCAGGAATGCACCTCTAGCAGCATGAATAATCTGGTTGCCTCAGTTTTTAACTTTTTCTCTTCTTTTGTGTTATACGAAAAAGTCCTCTAGACACAATTATTGGTCAAGAAGACTTCAGAAGTTCTGCTTAGTAGTAAAATGACTCTAGAATTGCAATTTCTATATTTGAAAGTATGAAGGGGCAAAATTGAGGTGTTTATGAGATAAATTAACTAAGCCCCCGTTCGCCCCCATTTTTTGTGGAATAGTATTTTTTTGAAGAACGAGTGGTTGAAAAGGAAGGAAAAGTTTTCAGTTTACGTGTAATATTACTTTCTGGAAGATTATGTGATTGGAAATAGGAGAGAAAAATGAAATCTAATTTAATTGGAGCCAGATGGGGTCTAAATTTCCAAAATATTGTTGCCTCGAAGAATGGATAGTAAATCTATTTGATGCTAATTATAGGTTATTGCTTCTCACAAAGTACCATCGACTGCCAGTTGTAGATGGAAGCAGCAAACTGGTAAAATTACTCTACTCCATATTCTTTGTTGGGATTTGATTACATTCATCAGCAGCACTCAGATTCTTGTTGGTTTCTCTATGCTCTATCAAAGGTTGGCATAATTACGCGGGGTGATGTTGTCAGAGCCGCCCTTCAGATAAAGCGTGCTAGTGAAAAAATGTGAAAACTCAAGCATCACGGGTTCGCAGAATCAAATATTAATGGAAGCATACCAATATCGGTTGCTTATTAAATGAAATATACATATGATGTCCCAGAACTCTATTGGTTAGCATAGTACAATCACAATCAGAAGTATTGATTTATTCCCATTACGAGTGTTCCTCTATATTTGCAGGTAAGCTATTGATAATGGTCCAGGTTAAATCTTTGTTCTTGTGCTGCTTCTGCCTGTAAACTTAGTGTTTATGATTATTAATTTTGCAGGTGCTATAATCTATAAATTCTGTCAATGTTGGAGATAGGATATCGTCTAATATATCCCATAGTTGCTTTGTGGTTATTACTGCTGGAATTTCGATTATACGAGACTGTTGTGTAACATAAAAACAAATTTCATATGAAAAATACTTTCACAATTCTTTATAGCATTACTGTAATTATAATACGACAAATGCGACAAAATTTCTTACAAGATTTCATTGCAATGCAAATATTTCCTCCACTTCCCAGATAAAATGAATCCCAGAAATCGCTGACTTTAGATCAATACCGTTAGTGCATCCCTCCTCCCCCTACATTTTTGTGTTGTGACACTTTCTTGAGGCTCTACTTTTGTGTTCTAAGCTAGGGCATTCTTAGTCCACTGAAATTTGTTGTAGAAGCACTTTCAACATTTTTTCTGCCGTTATAAGCACTCCTATTAGTCGATTTGTTCTGTAAATCCATTTTTATGGTCCCAATTCCGCATGGAGGCTTGTGGTAGAATTTTGTCAATTTGTTACATGAAAGACTTAAATTGAGTGGAACCCCGAGAAATAATGTGTAGTTTTAGCCTTCATTTGGAAGAATTTATAAATAGATAGAAATGAGCGATACGTACTTGTATGTATATTGGAATGTGTAATTTAGTCCTTGTTTGATGGGGATTAAAATATGATTTTTATTTGATTTTGATGGAAGTTAATAAAATGTGTGGTTAAAAAGTCGTGAAATTCATAAAATATGTTGTTCAAATTAATTGTTGATTTTGATTTAGATTAAAATCTGAATTTTAATTGATATCAGAGACTTTAAAAAAAAAATGTAAATTCAAAACTGACATGGATTTCAAACTTGTAATAAAGTACACAATTCAATGAGATAAGTTCATCCATTGACTAACTGATGAGAAGGTTACAAATTGCATTTATATTATGTTCCTAATTAGCAGTAAATCTGAACATTCGTTCTCAATTGCTCACTACTGCATCCATCTTGCTCTCCAACACTCTGACCGCCCTCTATTGCCACTCCTGCCACCAAAGCATCTATGGAAGTGGAAAGCCACAAGGTTGAAATATTTTTCTTCCCATTTGTTGGGGGAGGCCATGATGGCTGACACCTCAATTCTCCTAATCCGGCACTCGCGGCTGTATTGTCACTGACACCTTCCACCGTTAGGTGGCGGATTTAAATGATGCAATTGGGGTTCATAGAATTACTTCAATGGTAATTGCTGCTTTAGAACCACCCCATGTTAGTAGTTTCTATGCTTTAGAACCATCCCAGGAATGTGATTGGGAAAAAGGCTTGGCTGGTTTGGTTTGTAAATCCGTGCCGAAAATTGGACAGAGTAACGGCAAAGAAAACACAAACTAGAAGAAGAAGAAAGTAGGGACAAAGCCGAGGCAAGAGTTGGACTCTTTGTCCTTAAGTCGAATTTGCCCCGCAACGGTGCCTACGGATTTCGGCAATCGACTCCCAAGATACAATGGCTACACTTGTGTTTGTAGCACTCCAAAACACAAGTACAACGAACCAAACTTAAGCTTATGTACTCCAAGGATAAAGGAAAATCAAAATAAATGAAATGATTTTGATTTTGGATAGAAGAGAGGATGAGAGACGTTTTTGCATATCAAAATTGTGAGGAATAGGACACCCAAAGGGTCCTATTTATAGACCATGGAAGGGTGTGGACGAAATGGTTGAGACCAAACCATACACCCTTTCCAAACAATGCACCTTTATGAAAAGGTGTCTATTCACTAATGGTTGAGGCCAAACCATGCACCCTTTCCAAACAATGCACCTTTATGAAAAGGTGTCTATTCACTAATTTTCGTCATTTTTCGTAATTTCTCATTCATCCGATATTGATTTTCGAAATGCCAAATATACCCTTCGATCCCCGTTTGTGCCGTGGTAAACAATTTTGCCTAAACGGATTGAGTTGAGTTTTTGAGTATTTGGCCGAAGTCGATACGAAGTCACTTTAATCGATTTTCAATTCTCGATTTATTTAACCAATATCCAACAATTCCCCACATGAATGGAAATTACTCGATATGCGCAACACAATGCGAATGCAATGCAAATGAAATGCAGACTCTAACAAATGGAGTACACACGACAAGTCATAGCATCAAGATAGGTAGCTTGTGGCCTTGAACCTTCTTTAGTTGAATACAATCGGATTTACTAGGCTAGTTAGTGAACACGATGTCTTGAACCATCCAGCCGTTCGTGTAAAACCAAACAACTGTACCAACACCATGACTCATCTAACCTATTTGGTTCTCATGGTTGAGTCCATTTTGGCCCTGGACAACTCTTGGTTTCATAAGTGCTCTAAGAGAATTAAGCCTCGAATTCTCGTAGAAACGGCCCCATTTCACACTTATATAGGTGATCTCATACCTTTCTATCTCAAGGTTATGAATCATTAAAAGTATATATGTATACTTATCATACACATTTTATATAGCACTTTAAATTTTAGGAATGGGGATAAGTGTTTTATTCCGAATCATTTATGACTTAGTTGTCCCATTGAACTAAGATCTTGAGATCTCCAATCTACAAGGTTGGGTTTCCGTCATAGTAATTCTATTCAATAGGCTTTAGGCCCATTCCCCTCGAAAGATGGTAAACTTGATCTCTTGCAAGTCCTTTCGTCAAAGGATCAGCCAAATTTTCTTTTGACTTCACATAGTTAATAGAGATTATACCATTCGATATTAACTGTTTAATGGTATTATGTCTCCGACGGATATGTCGAGACTTACCATTATACATACTGTTTTGTGCCCTTGCTATTGCCGATTGATTATTGCAATGTATATTAATCGCAGAAACCGGCTTTTCTCAACATGAAATTTCTTCAAGAAAATTGCGAAGCCATTCTGCTTCTTCACCGACTTTGTCTAACGCAATAAACTCAGATTTCATCGTGGATCGAACAATACATGTTTGCTTAGACGATTTCCAAGACACGGCTCCACCTCCAATAGTAAATACATAACCACTCGTGGATTTTGAATCCTTAGTGTCAGATATCCAATTTGCATCAGTATATCCTTCTAATACCGCAGGATATTTTGAGTAGTGTAATCCATATTCAACCGTGTGTCTTAAATATCTAAGAACTCGGTTTAATGCCTTCCAATGTACAACACTTGGATTACTAGTGAATCTACTCAACTTGTTGACTATGTATGCTATATCCGGTCTTGTGCAGTTGGTAATATACATTAAACTACCAATGACACGCGAATATTCCAATTGAGATACGGGCTCACCAGTATTCTTAGCTAAGTAAATACCTAAGTCAACTGGTGACTTAACCGGTTTATCGTCATACGCCTTAAATTTCTTAAGTATAGTCTCAACATAATGTGATTGAGATAATGACAAACCGTCGGATGTCTTAGAGATTTTAATCCTTAATATTACATCTGCCACTCCCATATCCTTCATGTCAAAATGTTTTGTTAACATTTTCTTAGTCGAGGAAATGACTTTGGAGTTATTTCCCATAATTAGCATATCGTCAACATATAGGCATATGATTACATATTCATTAGGTGCGTTTTTAATGTAGACACATTTGTCACATTCGTCACATTCATTGATTTTGAAGTCATTTGACAACATAGTTTTATCAAACTTTTCATGCCATTGCTTCGGTGCTTGTTTCAATCCATACAATGATTTTACAAGTCTACCCACCTTCTTTTCATTTCCTGGTGCAACAAACCCTTCAGGTTGTTCCATGTAGATTTCTTCTTCTAATTCACCATTTAGAAACGCGGTTTTGACATCCATTTGATGTATTTCAAGATTATGCAATGCCGCGATTGCAATCAAGACACGTATAGACGTAATTCTTGTAACGGGTGAATAGATATCAAAGAAATCTAGTCCTTTTTTTTGTCTATACCCTTTGGCTACTAATCTAGCCTTGTATTTATCAATTCATCCATCCGACTTCAATTTCTTTTTGAAGATCCATTTACAGCCTAAAGCTTTGTTTCCCGGAGGGAGTTCAACCAATTCCCAAGTATGGTTACTCATGATGGATTCAATTTCATTGTGTACAGCTTCTTTCCAAAAAGGAGCTTCGGGAGAGGACATTGCTTCATCAAATGTCCTAGGATCATTTTCAAGTAAATTGGTTACGAATTCTGGACCGAATGTCTTTGGAATTCGTTGCCTTTTACTACGTCTCGGTTCTTCATTTACTTGAAGATCATCATTCTTTCCATGTATGTTATCATAAGTTCATTTATTTGAACTTACTTCCTTTTCTTTACACGGAAAACTGTCTTCAAAGAAGACCGCATTTCTTGATTCAATAATTGTACCTACGTGTACATCAAGTACTTCGGATTTGTGAACCAAGAATCGATATGCACTACTATTGATAGCATATCCAATAAAGACACAATCAATTGTCTTTGGTCCAATCCTAACTTGTTTAGGTTTGGATATTTGTACTTTCGCTAAGCACCCCCACACTTTGAGATATTTGTAGGAATGTTTCCGACCTTTCCATAATTCGTAAGGTGATTCAACCTTATCTTTGTGTGGTATTTTATTAAGGATATGATTTGCAGAAAGTATGGCTTCCCCCCACAAGTTTTGAGGTAAACCCGAACTAATCAACATTGCATTCATCATTTCCTTTAACGTTCGATTTTTGCGTTCAGCAATTCCATTAGATTGTGGTGAATATGGTGCCGTTGTTTGATGAATTATTCCAGATTCTATACAAAATTCTTCAAACGGTGCAACATATTCTCCACCTCTATCACTACGAATCATTTTAATTCGTTTTCCAAGTTGATTTTCAACTTCATTTTTGTAGTGTTTAAACACTTCCAAAGCTTCATCTTTGCTTTTCAACAAGTACACATAACAGTACCTTGTACAATCATCTGTGAATGTGATGAAGTACTTTTTACCACCCCTTGTTTGTACGAACTTCAAATCACACACATCCGTGTGAATTAGTTCTAATGGTGTGGTGTTTCGTTCAACAGAATGAAATGGTGTTTTGGCCGCTTTTGCCTCTACACATGTTTCGCATTTTCCATTATTAAAATGCATATTCGGAAGTAAACTTAAATTCATTAACTTTCGTATTGAATTAAAGTTTGCATGTCCTAATCTATGATGCCATAGATTACATGACTCAAGAATATAAACTGAAGATGACGTTTTATTGATT